TAGTGCTCTACTCATTGCTTTTGAATTTGTGCCTGTGTTTTTGTTTCGACCTAATACCTACATAGGTACATGCATGAGTATTGAGCACATTTATATGCGCCCTTCAAGGCTCAAGAGGTATATAGAGTAACCCTGTAGACAAGCACAGACCGGCAACAGGCTGAGTAAAACAAGTGCTGTCATTGGGGAAGACGCCTTAGCTGATCTTGAAGTAGACGCTAGGGCCCCTCTTCACCCCTTCCCCTCCCCCCTCTCCCCCCCCCACCACCACCACCACCACCACCACCATCACCACCATCACCATCATCATCATCATCATCATCGTCATCATCATCGTCATCATCATCATCATCATCATCGTCCTCGTCCTCGTCCTTGTCCTCGTCCTCGTCATCGTCATCGTCCTCGTCATCGTCATCATCATCATCATCATCATCATCGTCATCGTCATCGTCCTCGCCATCGTCATCGTCATCATCATCATCATCATTATTATCATCATCATCATCACCACCATCATCATCGTCATCATCATCGTCACCATCATCATCATCATCATCATCATCGTCATCATCATCATCATCATCATCGTCATCATCGTCGTCGTCCTCGCCATCGTCCTCGTCATCGTCATCATCATCATCATCATCATCGTCCTCGTCCTCGTCCTTGTCCTCGTCATCGTCATCGTCCTCGTCATCGTCATCGTCATCATCATCATCATCATCATCACCATCATCGTTAATCAATTACATTTTATCATTATTGGCAATTATTGACATTATCACGAAAGCTAGCGTCAGCTCGCTAGAGTCTTCTTGCTTTAGCAAGTATTCCGGGGCTCCCCAAGGACATCACGTGCTTTTTCACGCGAAAGGGCCCCCCCCTGCCCCCTCCCCCATATATATCATTGTTATATATCACATATCATATATCATTGTTGCATCCTCGTTGGGACGAACAATGCCGCGACACGATGATGACAGTCCCTTCGCAACTCACCTCTTCCCTTCCTTCTTTCTCCTACCCCGCTAGCTTTCGTCATCCACCCCCGCCCTCAAGTTTTGTGAGGCCTACGTGGCTTTGGAACATTTTAGAACATGTCGGAAATTGACACAGTCGGATTGCAGCAAAACCGGTCCAGCCGTATCCCTGGGGCTCCAGGAGACCATCCTCCACAACTTCCTCGCTTTGCTGTGTCTACTTTGCTTCTTCCGCCTGCAGGGGCTGAATGTTTTGCTGCTGAGCTACCGCCACGCCACCGGCAAGCTCTTGCCGTGCCAGTTCAAACGGACCAAGGCCGGGTCCGAACTGGTCCAAAGGTAACCATCGTAGCGTTGTAGCTTAATGAGGTGTAGAAATCTTGGAAAGCGGAGCGTACAGCCAAGTCGGGTTCCTTTTGCCGTCAAGTTGTCTAACTTATGTTTCACCGTGCAGTGGTTATGCATTTACAGTTTCATGTCTGATCATGTCATCATGTCTGTACTTTCACGAAGAATCTGGTAGAGAGAGAGAGAGAGATATAAATATATATATATATATATACGTACAAGGTATGCACATCCATCACTCTTAAAGCGTTGAGTGTTTCTTTGTTCCTGTGAAATACGAATTGGGCTAAAACCGATTGGCCCAAGGCCAAGACCCTTGTTGACACTGAGTGAGGCTGTGATCACCGTCCTAGGGGGAGGTCTCAAACATTCATTTACATAGTTCTACCCGCCCATGCATCCAGAAGCTTGGCAGCTCCAGGCTGCCATGCAAAAGTGTTGTAACAAACTGTGTTTTACATGTTAACTGGGTCATGGGTGCGGATCATCATTGAAGCATCACGAACTATTAGGGGTTGGAGATTTGTTTGCGAAGCAACACGTCTCCTGCTTTATATAGCCCTTTTTCCCCCCAACAGAGGCGCGGGACCAAGTGCAAAATCAAGGCGTCAGCTTAGGGGTACGGATTCGGATGCGAACAATGCCGGCTGTTCTTGCTCAAGTTTAGGTTGGCCCCCAACATTCTTGCTGCATGATTTGTAATGAAACACCGCTGAGTCTGATGGACAATCATTTCTCCATGGACTTCCGGGATAATTTTGGAGATGGAAACCAAAGTTCATTGGGCCATTGGGTTGAATGAAGAGAAGATCTTCCCCCATGAAATATAGGTTTCCTGCAGATTTTTCGGATGTTTGGTTGAGTCCCACGTGGCAGTGCTGCGCAACCAAGGCTGTCCTGCTTCACTTTTGCGTTTGTGACTTTGCCTCCTTTTGGCGAAAGCGCTGGACACAGCTGGGGCCCAGAAAAGAGACATGTGGAAAGGGGGGGATGACTAGCTGCTGCGCCCATTTGTTTCTTTATAGCAACACCTCAAAAAGGTAGAATCATATATAATTTGCCACTATTTTAGTAACTTTAGTCGGATTTTACCTTTCGATATTTTTTGAGTATCATTCTCTACCCTTTGTGACTTGAAGGGGTCCGGCTAGCATCACCCAATGCGATGTATTGAGGCCTGCAAGCTAGGGTAGCTTCACTAATAGGCCACTCCATGCTAGTTCCAGTTGTCACAGTGCTCTTGTCACGCAAAGCATCAAGGTTGCCTGCCATTCAATGATCTGGTCCCTTGCGAGTACTTTGACGATCTTTGATGTATATATATATAATTTTATGATATTTTATTATATATACTTGATGGGTAGCACCAATGGTGACACATCTTGGAGGCTGCTCTTTCTTGACACTGAGCCCAGGCTGGGGTATCTCTCGGCCAGCGACCAGTTCAGAGTTCGCACCAGTTCAGGGGTCGCTCAGAATGGAACCCGCTCGGTCGTTTTCTCTGTGTCTTCAGCGGGTCTTGTCTTCAATCGTTTGTTTTGCGGTCTTGTGTCCAACAGGTTTGGGATGGTTGGGAAATTGCTTGCTACGAGCCCAAAGCAAGCACAGAAGCAACATATCTTGATTGACCCGCTAGTGTGCAAACTTGCAGAAGTGGGCTGCATTCAAGAGACCAATTCTCCGGCCACACATGTTTGACCAAGTTGGTTGACAGCTCATGGCAGAATTCACTTTAAAGTGGTCACCACTTTAGTTGTTTTGAACGCATGGGCACAGTGTTGGGTCCGTGGTGAATGGAAGCAACACATCACCCTTTGTCTTCTGAGGCGATGATGGCACGCTTCTACCGGCTGCAGTGCAACCAGCGCCAGAACGAGGTTGTTCCGGGGGATTGAGCTGGTGCAGAGATCCATTGGTTTCTATGCAGCAGTCTTCAAGTAGATCAAGACAAAGTCGTGGAAGCAAGGCAAACAGGATTCGATGACCTAGGAAAATTGGATTGCATGATACTCAGTCAACTACGCCAAGTGACTGTACCCATCTATCATTTCCTACAATGAACATCACTTGTAGACTTTAGATGCATGAAATACCCATGTCCTTGCAGCCTGCTGACCAGCGTCGTGCCGTTTGGCTCTTAAGGGGCTCAAATCATGAGGCTCACGAATCCGATCCTGTACCTTGTGTGGGCGGGATGTGCTAAGCCGTCTTCCTGCATAGGGACAAAGAGCTCCTTATGTGATGCTACTGAAAGAGCCTAGTTCCTAATATTGATGACTTAAGTTTTTTTTCAAAGAGCTAGCTTGCAGTTACCATCCTAACTATTATATATACCATTTGGAATTTTTAAGCTTCATTGAAGCTTTGCGTTTTGATATTGCTTGGACCCAAGTGGCGTACGAAGCAGAACCAAACCGAATAACTGCCCTCGTTCCAACCTGTCTAAGAGAAAACATATTCTTGCGCCATATTGCGCACACCATTGGTGAAGAACTTCCATACTCTTCCATGCGGTTTGACATGTTTAACTCCGGAAGGGAATCCAAAGGTGTCTTGTCCACCAGCTGTGCGTGGCTGGCTTGAGTCACAGAATTCACTTGTCACTGGTTGGAATTTGCATTGAATGAGGGTCGTTTCCATTCGTTTCCTTCCGGTGGGGTCGCTGGTGATATGGTCCCACCCCAGCTCCATCCGATCAGGATCAGACATCAGCGAATTCTTGCAAGTGGAGAGAAACACCATTGGATCATTGCCTGCGCCAAGCAATAGCCACGCCTCAAAGTCCTTGCCGGACTCTTGGGATTCATGGAAGGCTGGTGTTTGTTCATGTTTTTTGAAATAATAATAACTTAGAACCCCTCTTCTTTGCGTCGGGATGCTTTTAAATTGTTTTCACTTTGGAGTCCTTTGTGGATCGTGAGGGGGTATCATGGGAAGGCTAAGCTCACGGACAGATTTGGTTCCAAGAATGACTCCTTGAGTTTTCGGGGAGTTTAAACAATCATGAATAAACCCAAATTGGCCAAGCACACCACCTTGGTTCCTGCCCTAGTGGTCATCAATCTTGGCACGTCCAGTGACACACGTCCTTGATATACATTTGTGATATGACAAGCGCATGAGCAGCTCCGCAGAAATTGAGTGCCGAAGAACGTAGAAGTTGGACGACGAATAGATTGGAACCCTTTCAGATGGACGTGCCAACATCGACTATATAACCAAAGTTCACATAAGCTCAACGAAGCATTTGTAAATATGTGTTTTTCCCCCCCTTTGGGCACGAAATGCAAGTACAAAGAGGGTGTTTAAAGAAATAGACCAGCCCACGCACACAAGTGACCACACAAGTGACGTTTTCGCATAATTCTATCATATTCTATCAGAAATTCTATCAGAAATTCTATCAGAAATTCTATCAGAAATTCTTTCGAAACTTTTCTGTACCAAGGATCTGATCGCTGACGCCGTGGAGGACCTCACAAATTTCCTGAATAGCCATACCTCCCTTTCTGACATGCGCTTGGAAGCGTTGCAGCATGTCGGCAGCGCCTCAGCGTTTCGAAGCCAAATGGTTGGTTTGAGTTTTTGGACCTATGGGATCCATACCTTTATCGACGGTTGGGCTGGATGGAGCTTGGCAAAGTCCTTCATTGACACCCGGCCCAAAAATGGAGCTCCCGGCTACGACGTGGCGGCCATTTTTGTCAAAGAGGATCAATGTGCCATGGTGTTTTCAGGGACCAGTGGCCTCGCAGATATTACAACTGATTTTACTTTAATGTTTTCCATCCCCGCGACTACTTGCCATGTGGATTGCATGGCGTTCACGAGGGCTTTTTCAACGACGTCCAGCAGTTTATGCTGACTCTCATTTTGTTCAGCACTGGGCCCGTTTAGTTTATTTACTGAATTTGCATGAATCTTACTTTGGTTTGAGCTTAGAAGGCCTGCCATTCTTTCCAGAAAACTCATGATCACAAGACAGGAACGGAAGCTATGCCAGAGAATTCGAACCCTTCCTTCATCGCAACTGCACTGGAGGGGTTACTTTGACACTTGGCTGGTAACATGCATCAAGGTTCATTTCGTGTGTTGGCCGGCAGCTATCCCCCTTTGAGACATTGAGTTTTTTCGACCTAAGTTTTCGCTGGTGGATGGTTTAGTTGTGCTTTGCTTCTCCTGTTTCTATGTGGTTCTGTGATGTTCTATGTGTCACTCTATTTATATACCTTAATGCTTAACCAGGATGGAACGAAGCTCTGATTCAGAATGCTTCTTCTCATGTGCAGCCTGGTTTCTGAAGCATGTTCAATCTCCATCTTTTTAGGTGTGTTTGCCAGAACTGCCAGCTCAGGGCGGGTCACTCTCAGGGTGCCGCTATGTCTGAAATCTTTGCATCCTGCGTGAACGCTGGAGACTCTGTGTGGATACCTGAGCTGAAGAGAGATCCTCATCAGCTTTGCGTTGCCGGGACAGGGCATGGGTTTGAGTGCCCAACACGAACAGAGAAACCTTGCATCTAAGGATGGCAAGGTGGTCAACGAAGGAGCTCTGTTGAAAACTAGGTGGGGCCGAGCCACCTTTCAGGTGCAACCCAGGAATGCAGGGAACATCACTAGACTCTTTGCAGAAACTGATTGATTTTTCTAGGAGACAGAGCGCTAAGAGGGGCAACTAAATATCAGATCTTGGGAGAACCGACCCGGCAGGTTTCAAGTGAACAACATTTTCACCACAGGGTCTCCAGGCACCTTGGAAAGTCTTGGAGGAATCTACCCTGGGCTGGTTCTGAGTTTTGCTTTTTGCAGGGCAGGAATCAAAAGCCACAACGCAAATCTGCTGGACATGATCGGACGGGTGATCACTCAACACTGCTTGTAGACTGGGGTCAAGTTTGATAATTTTGCAGCTTTGGTGGGTCTCAGGTAGATCAACTAGATGGTGATTTCATGTGATTTCTAGATCTTGAATTTCTAGATTGATTTATCACATCCAGGTAATTAGTACTTTCTTGCAAAATTGTCGTCACCCTGTTGTCCAGTCTCAGTTCCGCTATAACAATTGTTGCAAAGCCGCAAACCTGTGTTCAACTTTCATATATTCAATTCTATGGCGGCGGCGGCGGCGCGTTCATTTATTCAAGCAAGCAAAGAAGTGCGCAATGAATCAAGATTGTCCCCTTCTTTGCCTTCCTCTCTTTTTCCTTTTCTTCCCCCTCCTCCTCTTGCTCCTTGTCCTCTTCCTCTTCTTCCTCCACTTCCTCCCCCTTCTCCTCCCGCTTCTCTGATGACCAACATCATGACAATCATCACGGTTAGTGATGATCATCATCATGACCACCGTCATAACACCAATGTCACTGTCACAATAAGGTTGATTATCTCCTCCTTCACCTCCTTCACCTTCGTCAGCGGTTGCCTTGATTCTTTATATCTAATGTTTCTGGCGCTTAGTTGTACCAACAAACATAATAATTAATCAGAATTGCCTAGTATGAGCTCTACTACTGAAATGCTGGCCCAACTTTCCTTCATCCATTTCATCCCCTAGCCGTGGCCTCAAATAGCACCAGATTTGCAATTTATAGACAACACTACCAGTGGGTGAGCCACGCGTCTCTCCCCCAATGCTGAGGGACGGCGAGAGTTGGCATCAAGAATCCGTTGGAGACATCTGGTATTTTTCAGGGTGAGCGGATCTTTACCCAAGATCCTCAGAGGATAGCATTGGTTTATTTTTGTTGAACCCCTCGATGATTGGTACTCTGTGTCTCATTTAGATTCATTTAGATCATTTGTATGCATATGCATATATGCACATATGATTTACATATGTGTGTAATGTAATGTAATGTACTGTACTGTCATGTAATGTAATGTAATGTAATGCAATGTAATCTTATTCAATGTTACGTGATGTTACGCAATGTTATGTAATGTTGTGATGTTACGCAATGTTGTGTAATGTAATGTCAATGTAATTGTAAATGTAAATGTAATGCAATGTAATGCGATGTAGGGCAATATAATGCAACGTACGTATCGCATCGTATCGTACCGTATTGTATGGCATTGTATGTGGTAGATACACGCAGTGGGCTGGGGTGGTTACAATTACGCACGTGTTTGTTCACAAACATTTTGAGAAAGAGTAGTTTGGAATGAAATGTTTCAGCGGCGCCCCCGCATCAATCTCCATCCTTTTAAACAGACGTATTCTCACCTGGAAGTGTGTGTTGGATTCAATTCGTCTCCTAGGACTGGATCTATATGGACCCTGTTCCTGCCAGCACTTCTGAATTTTGGTGGCACTGGACGGCTTTTCAGCAAAGGGTCCCTATTTTGGACGATTACTTACTTCAATCAACTCAAACTTTTCACTGGCCACCTCCACAGTTGATGGAAAATGAAGATCATGGATTCATCAGATTCATCTGACCATGCCCTTTCTTTCAGCTGTGGAAGTGGCAAAGGAGCTGGACTTTTGGCACCCGAAGATGCCTGCAATGCGTTTGTTCAAAACGAATGACACCGCGGTGCGTGCGGAGAACATCGCTGCTTCCCAAGCCTGGGAACCGCCATTGTTGATCCCAACAGCGCACTCGTTGGCAGTCCTTGATATTAAGCGTCACCTGCAGTTCCTTGCTGTGAATGCAAGATAATCCAAGTGTATGTCTGTCATGTGACTTATGGATATATATATATATTTATGCCGCTTATGATAATGCCCGTCTTTAATCATGGGAAGCAAAGTTATGGTCCAGATAGCTCCGAGCGAGCGTGACTCTTCTTCTCATAGACTCAGGGGCATGGCCCGAACATTGTGGGAAGGGCCATGGCTTCTCTTCCACATCGTATTTCATACCGTCTTCCATACGGTGTTCCATATTGTTTCCCAAGAATGGCGGGCAAAATTGGTAGTGCAAGCTTCAGTGGACATCAGTTGACTCTCAGCCTGCCACTTCCTGGCGGGTGAGGTATGTTGAATGGCTTCTAGCCCTTGGAGAATGAGACAGCGAGCGATAGGAAGCCGAAGACAGACTGAAGCCATTATTGTATGGAGCTGTTCTGGAACGAAACTCCAAAACTCTAATTCGTTCAGTATGTTGTCGATAAGATATATTATACACATTACTGATCATTACTGTACAGAAGTGATGCAATTTTGCGGTGTGGGACAAAGTTTTGAAACCCCTGCACGGCCCAGACTACAATCTTGAGCTTGCCTGGAAAAATGGTGGGCTTAGTGGTCTTTTTCAAGCTTTACCATGACATCGGATCAATTTTTGATCAGGCAGAACTTCGGTGCATCTTCCAGAGCACCGGTTGACGAATCGCAAACACTGGCAAACTGGCGGCTAGGAACTGGTGTCAGGCACTGAACGGAATTAACATACCCCCTTGAGAACCAGGAATCCCTGGTGTAGTCTAGTAATCCAGTATATCATTTGAGTCCAATGAGATTGAATATGAATGTGGGGTCCAAGCTTAACCCTATTCCCAGCTACAGTAAGCCCATTGATTGATGTGTGTTTCTTGGTCAGGCACGGGAGCTCTTCCAAGCCATGTGCGTTTGTGACGCCAAGGTTCAGTGAAGGGCCACCAGTTATAGGTGACAATTTCTGGAGGGGACTGGGATGTTTTTGGCAATTTTGGAGATAGATCATCCGATTTTAGTGCCTGATGGGTTTGGGGGCGATCCATGATTCCATTATTCAACGAAACAAACTAAACAAACAGAGTGGCACAGTTCCAAATTTCTGATCGTGCATTTCACCAACCGTACCCGTTGAGCAATTCCAGCACCTTCTTCAGCCACGCTATATGCTTTTTGATTATGATGAGAAGGGGACACCAAACACTGGTATCGAAAGGTACCCTTACAATTACATAGTCATAATTCATAGCCATAGTCGCAGTTGTAGTCATGGCATAGTCTTAGTCACACACACACACAGATACAGTCGACAGTTGGATTGCATCCCATGTGCATAAATCGAGAAGTGTAACAAGTTCAATCACCTGTACATCCCAGGTGCACCTTTAGGTCCAAACCACGGTAAAAGGCTGCCTACTTCAGTTTGGTAGCGGAGCTGGTTAGCCCAGTCTCCAACTTTTTTCCCCCTTTTCGAACTTCTCGCACTTCGGTGTCACGCCATTGCACTACGATCCTCGAGCTGTTCTCGCTGGGCTGCGCTGCTGTGGTGGTCGAGCCTTTTGGGGCGCACTACATCATTGCGTTTGTCCTGACAGAGAATGGCTACAGCGGCTTCCAGCTCTACCGGAGGAGGAATCCCGCTGGATGAATACCGACGGGACGTGCCGCCGGGTTGGAGTCCGGGCAACATGGAATACCCGCTGAAGCTCTACCTGGAGCGGGTGAAGATGTGGTACCGGATTTATGAAGGCCCAGATGAATCCGTTGGACCACTACTTGCTGGGCGACTCCGTGGACGAGCTCAACAGATAGCTTTGACACTACGCCTTCCCGATCCTCATGGTGGAGTGGACATCGGTGACAGCGCTCTGGTCAGGCTATCAGTTGATGAAGTCCGAGACCCAGTCAATGGCCAGGTGATCCAACAGGCGATTCCTAGCGGAGTTCAGGCACTACTTGCCGCTCTTCGAGCCGCCTTTGGAGAAGCAGATCAACTACGTGCGACACGGGCTATGGAGGTCTTCTTCGAGTTCAAAAGAGGTCGCATGGCGCTGCCGGAATGGTCAGTCCAATGGCAGCTGAACTTGGACGAGGCCATCACTCACAGCGGCCTGGACCTCAACAATGTGGCTCGAACCTACCTCTACCTGAAGTCGTCGCAGCTGAGCCAGAAGACGATAGACGATCTACTTCTTCAAGTTCATGGAGACATGGCCAGGTTCGACGAGATCCGCACCCTCATGCTGAGGATGTCCCACAGGAGCTTTGATGCTGGCTCCCACTCAGCGCTCTATGAGGACGGATCGCAATCCTATGGCGAAGATGATGGCTCCTGGAGTGCTGTCACTGACAACTGGTCAGACAGCGGCCCTGCTGGTACCTACCACATGGACGAGCTCTACGCATGGTATGATGATGGATGGTATGGTGAACCTTGGGACTATGAGGAGGCCGACTATGACAGCTACTACCAGGACTGGCCCGAGCACTATGACTATGGCTGGGACGACGAACAACCAGAAGATGATGGAGCCGATCAGAAGGAAGACTCCGGCAACACCCAGTCTGAGAAGGAGGACTACTTCAAGGGCAAGGGCCGACCTTCGTCAATGGGTCTTGGATGTGGCACTTGTGGGAGCAAATGGCACAACACCCACTCGTGCCCCCTGAATGATGCTCAGAAAGGAAAAGGAAAGAACTATGGCAAGAACAAAGCCAAGTACAAGGGGTCTGGCAAAGGCAAGGGCTATGGGAAGAGCTTCAACAGGAAAGGCTTTGGAAGACCCAAGGGTTACAAGGGCTTCGGCAAGAAAGGATCCTTCAATGGTGGACGTTTTGGTCGCAAAGGATACCTCTTGGATGAGATGCCGAAGAGCTACATGGACTACTACGGCGGTGCCTATCTCATGAACAAGAACGGCATTCAGGACACCAACAACGTTCAGGAGAATGCCAACATCCCTGAGGTGACCATTCGAGACACCTTCAATGTGGAGGATGCCAACAAGCTCTTTCCTGGTCGAAAAGTTCGCTTTGCAGATCATCCTGAACAAGAATCTCCCACGGATGGCAACAGCGAGCAGCGACCGAAGAAGCTCAACTTCCCTGAGATCAACGAGAACGCCTTTGAGAGCTACCACACAGTTCGAGGCAAGAAGATCTGTGGGTTGCTTGTGGACCCTGGAGCAAGCTCAGGCCTTGTCGGTACTGACACGCTGCGAGAGCTCTTGGACTCCGGCATGGTGCCCCAGGACAAGGTCAAGGAGATCACATGGGGCCCATCTTCAACTACGGTGACAGGGATTTCTGGCCAAGCAGACAGCACTTTGGCCAGAGTTTCTCTCCCTTTTGGACTTGGCTTGAAGGAGGCTGAATACACTGCAGACCTCATTGGTGGTTCCGGGAGTACCTGTCCTGCACTTCTTCCCAACACCAGCTTGAGACAGCTGAGGACGGTCATGCTGACCCAATGGTACGAGAACGGCGACGGTGTGATGATTTGCAGCACCAATGGCCTTCGACCGGACCATCCACAAGCCGATTTGGTCGTCACCAAGTTGCTTCTTGCAGAGTCAGGTCACTACATCTTACCAGTCAACCAGGTGGACCAAACTATGACGGAGGATGAGAAGACCGAGATCTTGAGACTCTGGCGATGCAAGAAGAAGACCGGCCAAGCAGCAGCACGTGAGCAGAGCGACAATTGCCATCTCCACGACAACTCTCTCAACATCGACAGCAACAAGCTCCAGTTCAACACTGAGACACTGGAGTCTGAACTTCCATCATTACCAGAACCCAAGATGAATGACAACATCCACAACGATGTCAAGATCTCCATGAAGATTGACGACACCGAGCCTGCCATCCAGGTCTTGAAGGTGGACACCATGGACGAAGAGTACGACGAGACACAACAGTCGTACCCTGGAGATCAATTTCCTGCACATCTTCCCAACGGCAAGCTGAAGTACCTGTCCAAGCTCTACAAGGCCATCCCAGAGGAGTTCTACACGAAGACACGTCGTGCACCAGTCACTCCAAGGAATGCAAGATCATGGGCACGAAATCGGAAGAACTCTCACTTCCATCTCTGGGAGTTTTGCAGCGGCTCTGGAAGACTGTCCTTTCTGGCAGTGTGCGCTGGCTTGATGGTGATGTTTCCCCTGGACTACAGGTACGGCTGGGATCTTGGATGCTCCTCACATCGCAAGTTGATTGACGAGATCGAGAACAACCTTGCCCCTGATGTGGAGTACATGAGTCCAGCCTGCCGACCGTGGTCAATCGCATCTACACGAAGGGACTTGGAACAAACCCAACGTGAACGTGATGAAGAGATGCCCACGATCGAGTACCTCAAGTCCAAGGCCAAGAAACAATGTCGCAACCATCGAGGTTATGTCTGGGAACAACCATGGTCTTCTGCAATGTGGCCTTACTTGGAAGACAACCCAGGCGACATCCAACGCACAGACCAATGCCGCTTTGGAGCTTGTGACGAAGTACAAAACCCAATTCTGAAACCAACTGGATTGCAGAGCAGCCTCGCACTACGTCACAGCCTCAGAAGATGCAAAGGACACATGGGCAAGAGACATGGATGGCTTCAAGGACAATATCAAGGAGCTTGCCGCACCACTCTTGCCGCCATCTACCCTGAGGCTCTATGTCGTGCCATCATCAAGGATGTGAAGCGCTTCGTGAGCAACAAGACCACTGTCTTCAGCGACTTCTACAAGTGCGAACGTTGCTCCTTGGGACGCGCTGCCACTGATGATTTGAGGCACACCTTCATCCCTGGTGAATGCCGACATGGACGATGGCCTGAAGGAGAAGGACCCAAGGACAAGAAGAAGGCTGAACAAGAACGACGTGAACAAGATGATCTTTGGGAAACCTTTCGCAAAGAAGCCATCAAGAACGAGAAGGTTGGTGCTGGGAAAGTTTCTGCCCACTCAGATTTCGCCTTTGACAACGAGCAGTTGCTGATCTTCAAGATGGTCATGGTCAAGCTGCTCGACGAAAGTATCAAGGAGTTTGAGCTGGCAGAGATGGAGAAGCGCGACTACGAGCAGAACCATTGGCTTCAAGATCCCACAGCACTTGGCTGGATCAAGAAGGTCTTCAAGGACTACATGGACGTCAAGGGAGTGATGTCAAACCTACTCCCTTGGAGCAAGCCAACACCAGCACCAGTTCTGACCTTGGAACAGGCGCCACTACGACTTCTCGTCCAAGGATCAGTCATGCGGTGGACCATTGGAAAGATGGAAGATCTACGTGAACTTTCAGCTAGCCAGATCCACGAGCCCATGGAGTTAGACGATGATTGGATGGTGGCCATCTTCGGCAACGACCCCAACAAGAAGGAGACAACATCCTCATCATCTACAGCAGTGGTGCCTGTGGATCAGCTGAATGAAGACCAAGAAGAACCTGCAGGAGACCTGGTTCCACTAGAACCTCCAGAACACGACAGTGAGGAGCCTGACAAGATTGCAGTTCATCCTGGTGGCCTCAAGCCGACCTACGACTTCAGAAGGATCTTCAAGAAGCTCCCACGTCTTGCTCTGGATGATGAGACCGCTGCGAAGAGGCTCATACTTGGACTCCACGAACGTCTCTGGCACTCTGGCCTCACCGACACCGTGAACATCCTACGACGTTGTGGAATGCCTCACCATGTT